AGCACAGACTACATTCTGTACCCTCGCTGGATTACAAATAAGATTTAAAAATGTAAGCCCCAATCCTGCAAAGATTTAGGTATGTGGTGAACTTTAATTATGCGAGTAGCTCCAATGGACGAAAGCTTTCACAACATTGGAGCCTTATACTTATTCTGTCCATTTGAGAAAATAAGAAATGGGATAACAAAGAACAAAGATCTACGTAAAAAATTCATTTAAATGACCATTTAAAAAGAGTACAACTACAATGTTTTAGGGACATCAAAAACATTTAGCAAAACAGGTTAACGTGAAAGGTAGGGGGCCAACCAACTTGTGATGCACAAGAAACTCATGATTCAGATAGAAGTTTTGGCTGAACAGGGGTTAGAAAAAAACAAAGATTATTTTTTATATTAACTGTTCCTCACGCTATCCAAAAACTGGTTGTTTAGGGAATTACAACCTACCTCCCAGATGGCCTCAGTAGTTTCTTTCGAATATGGATTTCCTTCAAATCCTGGTCTAAGTGGTTGTCATTCAAATCACTCCTACAGATCCACCTCCTTTGCTACAAAACAAATCATGGAAGTGATCAGATGAAGATCGTATTGTTATAAAAATTCTCTCAAGCAACAATTTTATCTGCATCTCAGCCCATTTTGATTTTCTAGGTATGATTTGGGGTTGTAAGCATTCTGACAAAAGGCACTTCATGTTTACATCTTCTTTCCCCTCCCACTTGTCTATTTAAAATACAGTACAAGCTTTTTCGGGTAGGGACTCGTACTCTGTGTTATCCAGTGCCTAGCAGGAGGCCTTGATCTTCATTAGGGCCTATAGGCACTATCACCAAAAATAATTCTTTTACAAAAATTTTACACCACAACCAAGTAGACAAGTGTTGTCATTTTACAGGCCGGCGGTATCCCCATTTCAGAGATAGGCGAAGTGAGTCAGGGGTGCTGGAACTATTTTTATGAGGGGGTGCGGATGTTGGAAACCATGGAAACCGTATATTTGGTGTTTGTTAATACTACTTCAAGGTAGGAGCTGCGACGACACCACTGGAATGGACTGCTGCGTGTAGTTTGAAGTCCTTTCACAGGCAGTGACCCCATGCTGTTGTTATTAATCGTGTTTTTTATAGTAGTGCATAAGCATCAACCAAGAGTGGGGCGCCATTGTGCTAGGTGCTGTACAAACAGACTAGTAGATGGCCCTGCCCCAAAGAGCTTACAATCTAAATAGACAAAACCCAGGGGATGGGGAAAGGGATAGAACATAACAGAGTTAACAATATGATGGCAGCAAATGGCAGGTTAGTTCTAATTTTTTTTTCTAAATGGGTTTTGCTAGTTAGGAGGCGGGGGCAGGATCAGCTATATGTAAGGAAAGGGGAAGAGAGGGTGAGGGGGCCAGGGTGGAGTGAAGAGATTGTGAGGGAGGGAGAGGCTTGGAGCACACAGCAGAGAAAGGCCAGTCAGAACTGCAGAAAGTTCTCAATGTCCAGAGCTCTGTGCTTTGGCTGCTTCTGCCCCTACCAGCTAGAGACTCTGGCGGGCTCCTTTCTGCAGTTTTCTCCTAAGCCCACAGGGAAGGGAGAGGAGTGGCCCCAGCTAGGCTCCATTTTACCTCTGTCCCCTCAGTGCAGCAGTCCTTGATTTGGCTGTTTTTGCCACTACCAGCTAGTGTCTGTGGCTGGCTCCTCTACAGTTTTCATCCCTGCCCCATGTTGATTTTGGGAACCACCCGGGTTCCAGTGCCTTCCAAGTTTGGGGGTCTCCCCTGAACAGTTCTGGGTCCAGGGGATGCTAAAGGGAGAGGAGCTCTGGCTGGGCCCAATTTTCTCCCTTCCCCAGAGTGCGTCCCACTGTGACTGCTTCTGCCCCTACCAGCTGGAGTCTCTGGTCTATGAATACATGAGCATCTCCTTCAATTAGCTGAATATATCTACAGTCAGCTTGGTTTCTATATTGCTAGTAACAAGGTCCAAATTCTTGCAAAGTATCTTTAACAATTTTTTTTTTGATAAAAAAAATCAGCACTACAGGAGGCCAATATTAGCAAAAGCAAACTAAATTTAAAATCTCTCCCATAGTGACACCAAGTGGGCAAACTTCTTCAGTAATTTTTCAGTGGTGTTAAGTGGCTAGTTCCAAAGCCTCAGCAAACATGTTCAAAACCAAAAGAGATTATAATGAAGTAATCTTTGATACCCCACCTTTATACAGTAAAACCAGATACTGGTGTGGTAGCATATCAAATAGCAGACATGAGTGCCACCAGATTCCTCGTTGTTTTTGTGGATACAGACTAACATGGCTACCCCTCTGATAGCAGACATGAAGTTTCTCTATTACTAGAATCCTGGCTTTTTAGCCATTAGCAAAGTTGATCTCAGACTCAGATACCCTATTTACTTTCCCTGCACAAGGGTTGTAACAAAGTCAAAATGAACAAAATTGTGCCAATTCATCATACAGTTCACTTTTATACTAAATCCACAGGTGCTACCCCTTCACTTTTTGCATTTTAGTTTGCAGTCCAGGGCAGGGATTAGTTATGTTCACACAGAACTGAACTAGTGTAATATATAAATGCTTACCAATGATAAAGAACATGGGTAAGTTGGACGGAGTCTCCTCTAGGTTGTCCACTGACTGGAAGTGAATGTTACCCATTTTCTACCTAGGCAGTTGTATCCATCTCAGTCAGAGCTAGGACAGGTGGCCTGAAGTAGATTGTCTGTCAGTTAGTAGGATCATTGACCACTGTTTGCTGACAGAACATGACACCATCACATATCAGCTCCTTAGAGCAAGATCTGGCACTGCAGTGCTCTGCCTCAGTTTCTCCCTCAGGCTCTTGAGCAGGGAACTTCAAAGATTCTGCATTTTGGTAACATGTCTTTGGGCTATTAAGACCCACTTAAGTCTTCCAAACCCAAAGATAAACTTCTCATAGTCCAAATCTGAAAATGTCCAACAGACTAGGAATCATAAACAGGGAATCTTCTGCCACCATCATGCTGACCTTCAACAATGGTCTCACCATGTCTTTAGTAAACAAACTTAAATTCAGCCCCTTTCTTAGGCACCCCTTCTGCATACTTGGTGTTCCTGGGCTCTGCAGGGTGCTTGCAGTTTTAGCTGAGCACTGTCTCCCACAAGGTTCCTTTTTCCACAGCAGTTTCCCACTGTCTCCCCTTCCATGACTCTTGCTTCCCCTTCCTTAATGACAACCTGACTCCTTATAGGGAACACCTGCCCCTGCCCCCTCAGCTGCATCTCATTAATGAGCAGGCCTGTCTGGCTCCAAGTTCCTAAACAGGCACACCAGTTATAGCTGAAATTTAAGCTTATGAACCCTTTCATTCCAAACCCCATAAATGAACTGAGATAGTAAAAAATACAAATATAAGCTATTTGCTTATAAAAACCTATTAACACACAGACATTGACAACTATTGGACACAAGGAGGAAACCGGTACTTCAAACTTATAGGAAAGGAACTTTGACGCCAAATATTAAACCTGAAATGTTGCCTTACCCTACAAAGAGTGGCTAAATGTCAGAGCTCAGCCCCCTGGATTCCAAGTGCTGTGCACATCTCACTAGAAAACAGTCTCCTTAACAGGTGAAGAGATGTGGCTTCTTCCTATGCCATTTTCATTACATCCAAGCATGCTACTTCACAGGCCTCACATCTTGCAGGCATTTCCTTTACAGCTTTCAAAATTTGTTAACCAGTTGTTCAAAATTAGTATTTGTCTGCAATATACACAATTCTGACTGGAATGCTACCCTGCTCCTGCTACCTCTGCAAATCCTACTGTATACAGGAGATCTTCAGCATCTATTTTTTCCAGAGACCCTGCAGTTTAAGGCCAAAGAGGGTGGTGATACAGAAACACTTCTTTCAATTTTGTTTGCTGTAGAATTACTTGCTTGAAAGTTCCATTGGAGCTCAAGCTTTTACACCTGTCTACAAAACCTTGTTAATCACCTGGTGTTTTGGATGATTGAGCAATGTATCAATCATTCAATGAGCTGCCCGCATCAAAGATTGAGATACACATCTAACACATAGGAAGATTTCCTCTTTTAAATATTTAAAGAAATCAGTAAAAAATGAAGGGCAGCAGCTAGGTATGAAGAGACTGTTGTGCATTCATCACATTTTACATCTTACCTGCTCTAACTAAAGGGTCATTGCAGGAACAATCAGTCATTTAAAGTTATATGCAGTGTTGCAGTTGTGGGTGTTAAAGGGGCGGGTGAAGTAACATCCCTAACTGGACCAGCTTCTGTTGGGAGACAAATTTTCAAGTTTACAGAGCTCTTCACAACCACCTGTCTTTCTCCAACAGAAGCTGGGTCAACAAGACATTCTCTCCTTTAAAGTTAGAATTACATCACATGAACAGAAAATTCAGATTCTGTAACTGAGAACAAGTGAAGTGTCCCCTTCCCAACTCCCTGGACTATATTTGAGGAATGTTTCATTAACACTACTTTAGCTTAAAGGATGAGCACTCTTTAAAGGAAACAGTCCAGCTACAAGTAGTGTTTTAAAAAGGTAATTGTGTTTAAACTAAGCAAAGAGTCAAAAATCCAGTATGTTCTAGTTACAAAGTTTATTTGTATTACCTTAGAGCAGTGATTCTCAAACTTTTGTACTAGTGACCCCTTTCACATAGCAAATCTCTGAGTGCAACCCCCTTTATAAATATATTAAAAAGGGTTTTTAATTTAACAGCATTGTAAATGCTGGAGGCGAAGCAGAGTTTGGGGTGGAGGAGACAGGTCATGACCCCCCCCCCCGCTGTAATAACCTCGCAACCCCGAGGGGTCCCAACCCCCAGTTTGAGAACCCCTGCCTTATGTTTAGTGCTGTTTTTTTTCCCCAATCTGTTTGTGTAAACAATGCTGTATTTTAAAGTATATAAAGGGGTATTTTCTATTATAAACAATGAGTTTCGGTTATGCAAGTTATTTGAAATAAAGACCAAGAGTACAATGATTTGAACATTTTAATTTGTGCACTCAACAGTACGCATCTTTTACTTGTAAAAGAGTGAGCAGACACATTTAGTAGTGCTCACAGAAAAAAAAAAGAAGAGTTGCTAATTCTCAGGCTCATTTGGATGTTCTTCTATTGCAAGCCTGTTGGGTCTGCGATATGGACACCTGCAACACAATATGACAAATAAGTTACAGTGCAATGTGAACTTCTACCCAACCAATTCATTAGTATACAAGATGTCTTCAGAAAACCTTTGCTCACCACTAGTCAATCTGCCGGTAATTCCAGCTATTTTTGGTGAATTTCATCATTTGATATCTTGTACTGAATGGTACACATTTGTAAATATCTATACAAAATTCCAGGATTATCACTGAAACCTACAATGTTTGAAGTGATGAAAAAAGTTACAAACATGGCTCTAAGGTTTTTTGTTTAGAGTATCATCAGGTTCAATCACCATTGGGATTTGATGTCTTACCACTTAATTTCAATTCTCAGCCATTTTTGGCCCTTTTTCCCCCCCCCCCACACTTAACCACATGGGCTTTCACCTCCAGTTCACCAATGCCTCAGTATTATTCACTCATTTGCACTTGATAAGATTTCAGTGAACAAATATTATGATGCAGGGACAACTCTCTTGTACATCATCAAGCACATCAGTGGTTAACTTTTTAGCCATTAAAGTTTAACCTAGCACTGCATCAGTATGTTTTTAGAAAAGGTGGTATCACACTGAGTCTGCTAATCAACTATGCCCCCTAGAATCTAAATTGAATAGAAAGTGTAGCTGACAATTTCTCATTTAAAGTTTATGAACACAACATGTAAGATATTAAAGCTAATGTTAAAATTTAGGTGAATGAATTTAATACAGTTTAGATATCTAGCATCCATACATTCAGGTACATTACTCATGAAAAAAGTTTTACAGAGTTGGTGGTGGAAAGCAAAATATATTTGTATTCAAACTCACCCAAAAAGACTTTCTAGTGCTGTATTTTCTTTACTGCAGGAATCTCATTTAACTTCCCTGATATTTTTTGGAAAAAAAAAAAATGCTGTAACACACAAGTTTCCGAACCAACATTAAAAGGATAAAGGACAGGTTGCAGAGGAAGCTGCTAGTGATGTCTAAACACATTGGTTCTGTGAACTAAGACTCATTATGGGGGAGAGGTTTAGTAAAGAAGGGAAAATTGAGAGTTCACTCAGAGGGGAGGGAAGCAGATTAGTTACAAAACTGAAGGTCTAAACTCACAAGGGATGTGATTAAGAGTTGCCTGACCTAATTTTATTTTCTGATTTCTAAGGATGTACATGTGTAAACAGTTTAGAAACTATATACAGAGACTGAATTCCTGCTGAAATGTGATGCTACTGTAAAAGGAAAAAAAGTACCTACAGACAAGTGATCTGGAATGACAACAGATGGTGGGAGAGGCAATTTTTCTGTCCAGATTCCTGAATGACTACATTACCAGTCCACTGCTGCCATATATTAGAGAACTGTACAGCTGAATTTCACTAGAAGCTATTCTTATGTAGAACAGAACCCTTACATGTCTTCTATTAAGCTAGTGAAATATGACAGACACCTTGCACACTTTAAGCTATAAGCAAGTGCGAGGGGAGAGAGCGGGAGAAATCTGCCTCCTGTGGTGGATGCCCAGGTATTGTGGGGACAGGATGGTCTGTCACAACTTACATAATTATGCAATATCCAGTTTCAGCTCTTGACCTTGAATCTGTGTATTAAGAGGGTCTGAAGAATAGAAGGCTCCACTTTTCTACCAAGTCTTGGTAAGCCATGACCCAAGTTCTCCTTTCCACCCAGATTAGGTCTGGTCCAAGGCCCACCACAGCTCAAGGGAGCTGCTTTCCACCTCTCCCGTAGGCATCTCACTCCTCTGAAATATCGAAGTCTACAGATTCTGCAGAGTAAATGGAAACAAGAGAACAAAAATGGACATTACATGATGCCCTGAGTAGATCGAGGCTGGAGTGACAACAGCAAGCATGGAAGAGCCAGTCTTCAGATAAACTGCATGCCTGATTGTCTTTTGGCTCCTAGTACTAATGTCATTTTAGCATATCACAAACAGCCAAGTTCTAGCATACAGGCCTCCAGACAACTTTAATTCAATATACATATAGCTGTATTTCAGACAAGTTGAGAAGGTTATCGTCAGTTCTCGCATCTGACGGCACTTCCTATTCAAGGGTATCATCATATCAACAGCTTTTTGTTGGTTTAGATAAGCAATTAACACAAGCCCAAAACTTGCAAATTTTGCTCTAACTTTCCCCTTGACTAGGAGTAAGTTGCAAGGCATTAGCTGATCAAATCAGTAACTTAATCAAATCCAAGGATCAGCATTAGATTGGAATATTCACCTGTAAATTACCGAAGTGCTTCTATTTCAACCCTCATGGAGCAGCTCCAAAAAAATCTTTATCAGCTTTTCCTTTTGCATTAGTCCAGGTCCAAATGGTGCACTACTAGTCAAATGCCTAACCAGAGTCTGCCCCCCCCCACATCCAGAAGTGGATGAATGGGACTGCCATATTTCAACTTTAGAGTTTGTCAATATGTAAGTAAAATCCCAAAACTGGCTAAAGAATTTATACAAGTTAGTGCAAAAATAAAGCTTACCTTATACTTCAAGACACCATTTTTCCCTAAAAAGAGGAAATATCAATTATTATATGACAATATTACAGTTTTATACAAAGGATATTTTGTAGGTTTATTCAGAAAAACCTTCTCACCACCAACAATCTGTCGGTAATTCCAGCTATTTTCGGTTTATTTCATCATTATGCACCTTTGATTTGACCAATTCTATAGGATTATTAAAATACGGCTTTTAAAATGAGCTTTAAGACTCTAGATTTTTGCATGTAATTATCTGCAAAAAAATTGCCCAATCATGAATCACTGTCTCTAAAGTTCAGTAATTCCCTTATTACAGCTTGCTATCCGTTAGCCGTAACTTCAGTTTCTGAATTTAACTGCACTGCAGAATCCAGAACTATAACCACTGCTACAATGATTGAGAAGTTTTGTAGTCTGCTCACTAAGCAAACTTTTTTTTAGCCTGAGAACTATTAAGGGAATTAAATCTTGTATTCCTATTTCTGATTGGAGGAGCGCAGAGCTGCAGATCTTACTCCAACTTCTCAGCCCTTAATATCCAGCATGGGTGTCTTTCACAAAAAAAAAGTTTTAAACAATATGGGGCACAAACGCCACTGGCTGGGTCTGATCATCCCTTCCACTCCCTGCTCAGGTTCTACGCTTGATGCCGACGAGAACGTTTTGTTTCGGTCACCTCTGAGGCCTGCTGAAGGAAAAAGGGGCAGCGACCAGAGCTGAATTTAGAAATCCTGAGCCCGTCTTTCGAAGACGCCGAAGGCACCTCTCGTTCCCCTCCCTCTGCGGTTCATTCCCGAGCCGGCCCCTTACACAACGGAGTCACACTGCGGCAGCGAGTCTCAGCCCCCCCCCCGTGTTAAGGGACAAGGGGGTCCCGAGCCCGACAGCGAAGCAGGGCGGGCACAACCCCATGGACCCCGCCAGGCCCCCGGGCAGGGCGCCTCCCCAGCCCGGCTGCAAGGGGCAAGCGCCATCTTACCTCAGCCGCGCACGAGGCGCCCAGCCCCGGCCGCGCTCGGGCAGCCGCCGCCGCCCTCTTCCCCCCGGCGCCTCGGGGCCACGCAGGTCACCCAGCTTGCGAGACAAACACACGGCGGCCCTGTCAGTTCCCAGTAGCGGCCCCGGGCCCGGGCCCTGCCCCCTCCCCGCAGCGCGCGCAGCCTCGCCCCCTCCCCGCTGGAGCCAGGGGCTCCCGCCCGCCGCACGCGCGCTCCGTCCCCAACGGGCTCCCCTCAGGCCCGGCTGCCGCGAGCCCATCCGCCCGCACCGAGCACGAGGCGAGGAGACAGGCACCCCGCTGCCCCCAGGGTAGTGCACGAGGGTCCCGGCGCGGGCCCGCCCCCGAGCCGCTGCCCCCCTCAGCCAGGCCCCTTCGCGCGCAACGTACCGGCGAGAGAGAGCGAGAAGCGCGCGGGCGGCGGCTTTTCAGGGGTTGGAATGTACCATCCTGTGGGGGAGGGGAAGGCTTATCGTAGGCCGTCAAGCGCTAGTGGAACGTACCATCGCGCTCGCAGGATACGGGGGGAGCAAACATGAGCTCGTCTGCCTGCCCTTGGAAGGGACCGAGGGTCCCACTCTGCAGAGCGGACAGTTGCAGAGCTCAGGAGGCCCCCTGGCGGCTCACGATTCTGTCAGCAACCCTCTTCAGGCCTGACACGCTCACTGCACCTCTCACAGTGCTGACCTGGAATGATCTACCAAGACTGGCCTGGGGGATATCAGAGGAAAGCTTATAGCATCCTGACCATCCTGAGCCTTGATGTACCAGCATGTGCTAAAAATATCTTTAAATCATGCAACCAGGCAGCTGTTGATAAATGTTTTCCCCAAACAACAGAAATGTTAATTTCCCTCTTTACCTAGATCTCGGACATAAATTAAGTAGGATAGGTCAAATACAATAGGAGTTCATTTGCACCTGAGGTAAACGAGAAAGCAGCAGGCCGGAGAATCTTGTCAGAGTGTACACATCAAAAGGATACATTTCAAAGGTTTACTGGTCTGTGAGAAGAAGGAAAAAGAAACATTCAGTTGTCAATGGCTAAGGGAGCGAAAAGGACATCATTTTTTACCCCCCATGAAAGTTGAATCCTGAACCCAGTGGGGAGGGGAAAGGGGGAAGGTTAGTAACCCTGAGCAACTTTCCTTACACAGGGCTTGTAGCCTGCTAAAGTTATGTTCAGTCTCTTATAAGCATATTATTGTGTTTTGTCTTATTTGTAACCAGCACTGTTTCCATTATTCACACTCAGTTATTACTTGAATCTGAGAATCTCTGGTCTTTGCTAAGACATATTGTTTTTACTATAAAATCATCTCAGTGCTGTGATGTTACATAGGATGCGACTTCTTGGTCGAATCAAGAAAGCAGGTGTGTACACTCTCTCCTTGGAGGTAGCATACATGGTATTTTCTGTGAGTGGCTAGTGATAGGAGGTGGATGCTACAGGGAATGCTTTTCAACATGGCTTGGGGACCAGGATGGACCTAGTTAAACTGCAAGGCAAAGTAAATGCTGACTGCATCTGAGAACATTGTTTAGGGTAGCTAACAGACTGGAGTGACAGGGAGCAGACATCCAGTTTATAACCAGCAAATCTTTCTCTTGCTGAGGCAGGGTGGGGGTAGGGGAGATACCAAGGTGATTTATAAACCTGGGTGCCAAGAAAACGTCACAGTAGCCTAGGGCTATCTACAGGGAGAAGGGGATCATGGGGCTATTTATACTTTGTAGGGTATAGGCAACCTGCGGCTATAAGATAGAGGGATGGATGTGATTATTTTTAGTGTTAAAAGTCTAGAAATCTGATTGATCACATAGAAACATTGGGCTGGAAGGGACCCCAAAATTACATGAAGTCTAGGCCTCTGCACTGACGCAGGACTAAGTAAACCCAGACCATAAATGTCAGGTACCTGTTCAACATGTCCTTAAAATCCTCCACAATTTCCTTGGAAGCCTATGTCAGATCTTAACAACCCTTGGAGGTAGAAAGTTCTCCTTGTTATCTATCAGCCTAAATCTCCGTAGCTACAGAATTAAGCCCATTACAATTAATCACCATCCTCTTCATAACAATATGTAGCAGGGCACACAGTTCCTAGAATTCACCTTTGATAAAAGGTGAATACTTACATGACCCATCATCAGGCCTTACACCCATTTCTGTCAGACTCCTAGAACCAAGAGTAACCCAGCTTCAAGAGTTTCTGTGACATACAGGGCCCTGTATTGAGAACTGTACCGAGACCATTGAACACCCATTAAATTGTAACAACTAAGTCAGTCACTGTGACCTAGGCTGTATTCAAACCAGCAGTCAGATGAAAGACTTTCTATCCCTTTACCTACCTAAAGTCCCACAATGTACGCCCCGCCCGCAGGTTCTCCCAGACATGGCATAACCAACTCACTGTGGCACTGTCCCCCTCCCCTGGCATCCACACTGCATATAGAGTTTGAGATGAGCCTGCTAGACCCTGGGCTAATTTTCTGCACAGTGTTTTATTAGGTAATATCAGCATACCGTGATCTGTACAGAACACAGCTGCTGACCTGAGGCATCCTACAATCTACCAGTGGTTGCTTTTCTCCACTGCAATCATTCAGGCTATGAACCAGTTGGTTTTTATTCACCCGTTGCTTGAAGGGCTTTTCCTCACACACACACATCTCTGCTGAAGTTTTCCAACACGTCTACACTAAAAATTAAGTCAACCTATCTTACATTGGCATACAGCCACCACAGTAATTACATTGCTTGTATGTGTCTACACTTTGCTCCTTATGTTGGCAGTACACATCCTCACCGGGAGCAATTGTATCGATTGTCCTGTTAGTGTGGGGCATTGTGAGATGGCTCCTGAAAGCCAGTAACACTTGACAAACAACACAGTGTCTACACTGATGCTGGGTCACCCTAACTACATTGACCTTGACTCTATGCTGCTTGTATAGGTGGAGTTATTAAGTCAGCCTAGCAGGGAAACAACATCAGTCGAAGTGAAATTTACGTAGACACTTCCAGTTAGATTGATGTAAGCTACCTTGCGTCGACCTAACACTGTTGTGTAGAGCAGACCTAAATCTTCAGATTCTACTTGGCAAAGAAAAAGGACACAGCTTCAGTGAATCATTAAGGTCTCTCATGAGCCTCACTCAAAAGCTTATCTAGACTATAATACAAAAAGTGCATTTTTAGTACATTAATATATTTTAACATGAGCTGGGTTGAATTTTTTTCATTGAAAAATGGGGTTGTGATAACATTTTTTGTGGACAAATTTTAATTGAATTTCCTCATATTTCAATGACATTTCTACGTGAAAAATTGACAAAAAATCTTGATTTTTGGGGGTGGGGAATCCACTCACTTTTTTTTTTTTGTTTTAAAAACTTTACTCAACTCCTCCCACCCTTTTTTTGGACTGTGGGGAAGAAGTAAAATGAAAGAAAGTAGTTTCCCCTACTTTCTCTACCATTTATGGGGGAAAGAAAGTGGACTTTTTCACAAAGCAAAATGAAAAAAATCATTTCAATTTTCAAAAACTAAACTAATTGAGTATTTTTCAACATTTTTTGCAAAACATTTTACCTTTTTCTGATCAGATCTATTTTTAACTTAGGGCTTGTCTACACAGGAAAATTGACTGAAATAATTATTGCAGAATAACTTATTCTGCAAAAGCTATTCTAGAATAGCTGTCCATGGGGACACTATTCTGCATTATTCCCCTCTGGACACACACTAATTATTCCAGCATAAGGTGACTTTTTTATTCCAGAACAGTGTCCACATGGGGAGCTATTCCATAACATCCCTGCGTAAACAAGCTTTAGGTAGTAGGCCCCTTGGAGCAGATTGCCTTTTTGTTAAGTATTTGTACAATGTAGAGCAAAACGAGATCCTTGTGTGCGTGAGGCTCCTACATGCCAGCAAAACACAAAGTATTTTAAAACACATTAGCTGATTGAACCTTAAACTCCCCTCCTACCGTCCACCATTGACCATCTAACCCAAATTAGTATTATAAAACATTTATATTGAGGGTAGTGTCTTAAAAGCCACAACCCGGTTGAACCTTATTGCACTAGGCACTGTACAAACATGACAACAGTTCCTGCCCTCTTAAATACATCACAAAAGAAAAAAAGGGTTACAAACCCAAATATTTTAAATCATTTGCAAGACCCCTTTACCCAAACCTCAGAAACTAGTAAGTCTCCTTTAACCTTGACATAAGGGAATACCAGTTTGCATTGAAACACCATATGATCAGTTTGAGTTTGAATTACAGGACCATGAAATAAAATTAAAGGTTGTTTAATCCAGATTAACTTGTTTTTCACCTCCATATAGAGAGGACAATGAAGGGCTAACTGATGCACCCACAGCCTCTATATTAAAATAATCACATATTTTTCTCTTAATTTATGTAATTGCTAGGGTCCTGACTGTACCGCAATAAGCCCTTTTCAGGAACTGATTTAATATGACTACCCAACAGAATTTCAGTAAAATTGGACGTTAATGTAATTTCTAGCAGTTTTTATTTGGAAGAAGACCAAGCCAACAGACATCAGCAATATCTGCTTAAATAAAGGTTTAAATATTTTCACATTTTTTTTTTCCAATTCAAGGCAAAGAATATAATGTAATGTTGCTCTCTTCTTCCTCTTGTCTGTTATTGGATGTACTTACCTGAAAGGAAATCTTGATTTTAAAGTCCTAAGGCCTGGTTCTGCCCATGCAGACAGCTTGGAGAATTGAGGCCTAAAATGCCACATGCCCATTTCTTTTGAGAAACAGAATGCAAGTCACCTGAACCACTCACTAAAAGAGGTTTTTTTCCTTTCATAAGAAATGATCTAAAGAAAGTCTTAAGGTGTTTCTATAACAGTTCACTTAGAATTGAGGAATGCTCATTTCCCTTCCTTGGTGTAGGTCCTACGGCAAAACCAGAATATTCATTCCCAAATCTGAGAGACTTTGAACAGACTTCATTTATTCTAATGGCATACACAGGTCAAATTTCTCACATTCACTATCTGAACATTTATCATCAACATTAATCACTTAAAGGTGCCCATTTTTCCTTTCCTTTTTTGGTTATGTGCTTTTTGCTTCATTATGTTGCAGGCTTAATTTTTTTCCCCCCCCAGCTTGCCTTTTACGTTACTAATTTAATTTGTCTTGCACAGACAACACAGTAATGACTTGAGAACTAGTGAAATGCCAACCAAACAAGAATCAAGAGAGTGCAAAAAGCCAAGCAAAATGGGGGGGTGGGGGGGGGGAAGAGGAAGGATTTTTAGTAAATCTGCTTAATACTTTTTCCTGTGTCTTTTGTTAACATCTGCTTAATTTCATTGAGTAATTAACATTTTGGGAAAAGGATATATCTTTGTTAAAAAGACTCATTACCCACTTTTAATGAAGGTGAGAGAAAA